TCAATGGCTACTACAAACTAGCAAACTTACACTTATATGGCGCTTTTTGGACACTCCACTCAAATCGCTTTACAGGTAATGGGGACTCCTCTCCACCACCACCAATGTGCAGCATCCACCTGGATGATGGAACAGCAGCCAAAGTGCGCTAATATGCTCACCACTAACCAGCTATCAGTGGGGGAGGGGAAAAGTGATGGAGCCATTTTCTAGATGGGGATTATTAGAAGGCCATGATAAAGGCCCAGGGGTGATTTGACCAGGATACAGGGGTTAACACCTCTACTCTTCTTGAGAAACGACTTGGAATTTATAATTACCACAGACCTTGGTTTTTCATCTCATCCAAAGGACAGCACCACATTTTTTTACAGTATAGTGCCCACATTAGTATACTGAGGCTTTAGGAACCACACAGACTGCAGGGTGAGTGCTCCAACATATACACTGTATAGCACCAACACGTGAAAGGGATGAATACCTTTGCAAGGCACTGTATAAAAAATGAAGACTAACATGCAAAGGATTAAAAAAATAAAGTATATTATCTCTCGCTAACAACAGGCGAGGTGTTGAAATTGCATTTCCCCCAGTTTATAATGGGACAATGGCAGGCAGAGACCACATTGTGTTGAAGATGCCTTTCAGTTTGCAATAAGGCTTGTTAAACTACCCAGTAACAATGTCTCTGGTGAGCAACGCACTCCGCATGTGAAAGCACCCTTCCTATCATTTTTAACTCAATGGGTTCCTAGAAGAGAAGGGGTAAAAAAGTTAACAAGACCTCTGGATTAACAAATCACCCTTTAGTAGAGTTTACGTTTAGCTGCTCCCATAAACCTAGCTGATCCAGAATGGCTCGGAGCTTTTAATTTAAATACTCAACATGGTTTCAAATCTAATAGACTTAATAGCTCAGTAAACTGCTGAAGATATCACAGGACAGGCAAGCCACATCCATGCTCCCTATCATGCTGGATCTCAGCTGCAACAGCTTAGCATTACCTGTAAGGGTATGTGTGCACACAAGAGAAAGGTCTCATTTACAGAGAGATAAGCATTACAGACGAACTGTGACAATTTAGAACATGTTTCACGTCTGTTTTAATCACTACAGGTAAAGTAACCTGCCTGGGGGAGAACAGCCAATTTGAATTTAAACAAAGAAAAACACAGCTATAAAGCACAGCACCCCTTCCGTTTAAGGGGCACAGCCCTTTTCTCCTATATCAACACACTTCAGCTGAGATCTGTTTGGTCCGAAAGGGCTAAAAGTGCAGCCTTCTTGTGTACACATGCACGCACACGCACTAAGGCAGACAAACCAAACTAGGCAAGTGTGTACATGGCACAGAAGGGGGCTGAGCAGACTGGGAAACTGTTCATAAATCTGATGACTTTCCCAGCCTCCTGTCCAGCTCCTATCCTGGATGTATGTTCTCATCTGTTCAGCTGCCAGTGACTCACAAGGCTCGAGGTCTACATCACCCAGCAAGCAGCATCGCGCATCAATTCCTTTAATTAACGTAGAGCCACTGACATACAGACGCCCCTCTCAGCAACACGGGACTGGATCTAGATTTTCTTACAAGGAGGACAAAAACAGCCCTTGAAATGGAAAAAAAAATCAGTGGATGGATTTCAGAAGAGTGCTTTATCCATTACCAATGCTTCTGATGTCAGTAAAATCCTTGGCCAGAAAAGACCATTTTACATCAATAGCAGCTGATCAGAGAAATTATTATGAGGGGAAAAATGTTGCCTATAATGACAGAACCAAGGGGAACAAATATCTAGCTCAGACTGATCAGATTATCCTAAAAAAGATACACTCATCTTTCCTGCTAAAAGAAAGGTGTCTGGGCAGGGAGGAGAGAAATTAAAGACATTTTATGATGTGTTCATTTTTATGAACACATTCCTTTCTTTCAACAAAGCCATTTCCGCCCAATGTCATGTAAAGAATGATCAATTATTCACACCGATTCGTCTGAAACCTTTTTTGATACTGCCCTTGTCTAGTGCGTTGTGATTCAGTGGCTTTGATTCACTCAGACAGTGGTATCAGTCTTAAAGGAGAACAAGATTAGATTAAAGGCCCAGACAAGAACTACAGAAATTCCTGAAAAGAAATTGATAACCAGAGCTAGGATGAGGACAGAAGCTAGATTTATTGTGCCGTCTAACCCCACACAAATCCCTTGGGGACCGTCCTGTAACTCCATAAATTGTACGACTCACTTTTTTTTTTCAGTTTCATCGTTTGGTTGCAAATGATCACATACCATTCCATTTCTTACTACAGAAATCATAACCTTTCATAGTCCCCTAAATCCTTCTTTCTAATCAAAAGATAAACATAAGAAATGTCTGCTTTCTTCACTGTGTTAAAGGCACTATGAAAAGTCTGTCTCACGACAACCAATGCCCTTCAAGATATTGTGTCAAAAATTGTAAAACAGAAGACTGGCTTTTAATAGTTTCATTTAAAGAAGTCAGCCGAAAAAATATATAATAAACATTAAAGAGGAAATAAATTCAATTTTTCACTCAAACAGTAAACAAGGCGGACTAGGATATGACTAAATATCAGTCTGGACGCAGAGGACAAAAAATGTATTGCGGAAAATGACTGTTCCTACAGCATATGAATTATTTATGTTCTCCTGAGAAAGATAACCACATGGCGACAATATTTATATTCGGAAATAGCACTGCAGATACTTGATAAATGCTTGTAGCTCGCAGTTCTGCTAATCATTTACAGATGCGCCTTACTGCACCATATAGAGTAACACACCCTTGAGCTATGCTGTACTTTGGAAATGAATAAGCAAGGGGGCACACCTAGGCTGGCACAGTTTCACGCCTCCAGGTGGTGGCTGCAACCACAAGCATCCGGCGCCCAAATATGTTAGCCCTGAGGTGATCACCGGGTACGCTCGTTAACCAACCAACTGCTGGGAAAAAGACATCAATACCTTAACCACGGTGCGGCAGTTTATCCTGTCGGGAATTACACCGACAGTGTACAGTGCTTATGTATATAATTTAAACAACGACAGAAACAACACAGTTTAACCTGTGAGAAAGGCCATGTTGCAGCATAAGACAACAAGGCTTGTGAGATTCTAAAAAAGCTACCCTGTCGGGCTTTTAAAGCCAATATCAAGAACCCTCACATAAATTAGCTACTCACTACCAAACAAGCAAGAGGGGCCAAATGGCTTCCAGATTACAAAACAAATTATGGTCAGGAGTGAGAAGATCTTCGGCCTACTACCTAAATGATTACCAGGTGTTTCTATGTGCCATGATAAATTACATATTATAACACCTAATTAAATACCGAGTTCAGAAACATGAAAAAAGTGTCATATTTAAAAACAAGAGAGCCCATTTTTGAAGCGTATATACAATGGACATTACACCTCTTAGGCCAAAGACCCAGGCAGTCATTGTTCCAAAGTTTTTTTACAGTAAACCAAAATAACTAAAGTATCTTTGGTTTATGTGTATTCTGCACATCTGATAAGGCAAAGATCATTCCACCTCAACTTCAGGAAGACCAAGCTTAACTGAGTGGTATGGAGAAAGTGAAAATTGACCACATGGTCAGACTTCTATGGAGCAAAACCGGTGCTACATACAGCAAGACTACAGTAAGAAGTTTAGAGCTACTGAAACCCCTGATCCTGAGACCCCAGCGATAAGGAAGTGGTCTAACTAAGCCGCATGTCTTCCTAACCACCGCGTTTGTTTTCGCAATGAGGTCAGTCTGCCGAAATAAAAAAGGTGAGATCTAACCACTTTTACGGCGAGCGTTTCTACTTTTTTTAAGGCAGAAAATTCCGAGCGTCGAGTTAAACGTGGGATACAAAAATCCAGCCTCTCCGTCTAACGCTCCCTTAAAATTAAAAACCGAAAATGCCACGTTCGAGTATCCTCAAACGGGTACGTTCCCGAGAGTGTTTTTCCCCCCCGGAACAGTCAGCTCGCCTTATTTGTCAGTGCTTTAAGTGCCAAGAATAACTCGAGAGCCTGCTCCTTGGGCCGTCCGGACGCGCCATCTCCTTTGTGCTCTCCCAGCCGCCTGGCATCGCCTAAATAAGAGGTTTGAAAAAATAGCCGCAGAGCTAAGCTCAAACCTCAATCGGAGCACTGTTGCTGGCTAACGAGGCACTCCCTAAATTAGCTGTAGCCAGAGGCTATTACTTTCAGAAAAAACGCGTAAAAACGTAGTAAAACGCTGCATTTCAACCATTTCCTAGTTCGAGATGTATTCGCAAAAAGAGGGGGAAACAAGCAACGCCTGTAAAAGGACATTTCACAAGTTTGAGGGGAAAAAAAGAAAACCCTGTCCATAGGGGCAAATGTAAAACACACATCCCAGTTTCCCCCTGGAAACTTATTACTGCAGGGCAGGTCAAGATCTTTCATTCGTATACTTGGCGGAAAACACTTGATGGGGTTTACGAACATGAAGTGAATCGAGGCGAGAAGCCAGTCTGTCGTCTTTTTTTTTTTTTGTGGCGTTATCCGGGGATCGGCTCCCGAAGAAAGACTTGGTCTCTCCCTGCTGTTCTCCGCCGGGAATGCGGGCCCGGGCCAGCGCCTCCCCGATACCGGATAGCGGATGTACTCACCCCACACAGACAGTCGATACAACACAGGGGGGAAAGCTGCAATATTGCACTAACGACACAGTTTTATCCCACAATACTTTTAACCACCGTAGAATCGGCGTTTGCTGCTCTTCCACCCGCCCACCCCCACCACAAAATATACAAATCACATTCCAGGACTTCAGGGCAAGAAGATTTGTGCAGACATGCGCCCGAGTTCAACACAAAGCCCCGCATAAAACCCACCATGACATTTTCATTCACACGGCAAATATGTATATAACACACCAGGTATGCATCATTGGCTTACGAGTTTACAAGACGAAAACTCATATCCATACAAGCACTTTAAGCAGACATTGACACCCTCCTTACCTTAAAACGCATTGAACGAACCTAAACCATTCGTTTTTAATGCAGCATATGTGGAATCGATGGTCCTTCGCACTTCTTTCAAAAATATCCAGCTGATCTCTCCCCTTTACTACAAAAAAACAAGCTTTAGTTCTCTACTTTTCTCAAACAAACAAAAAATGTGTTCCCTTTGTCTTCTTATTCCATTTTACACCCTTCAGACGAAAAGACTCTTTACCTACGCCCAACAACACGATCTGGTTATTAAGAAAACTGTATTTTTTAAAAAAGTTACAAAATCCCCACACGATGAAAAATGACCTTAAAGCCGTGCTAACCCCCTCCCACGATTACAAGAAAGAGAGGAGGCCATCCTCTGTATTTCGACCCGCCCCCACAGGAAATACCGAACACGTCATCGTTGGACAAGCTCGACCTGTACGCATTCGCTATGAGCTCCGCTAGGTTTGTCCTTGGGAAAACTCGGAAATCTGGGTACGCGCATGTAACAGCCAAAATTCTGCATTTCATTGTAGCTGTAAATGCGCATAACCTCAGTTCAGTTGCTCTTACATCATTATGGTATGATTCTGATTGAAAATATGAAGTGAAAATAATAGATTCACTATCCGGTTACCGTATAAATTGCTGTGCCTAGTGTTGTATCTGTTATTGTATTATGTTAACTTCTTTATTTAATCACTCTGCATTGGGTATTTTTTGCGATTTTTCTTGGTCCTCCAAACCAATAAAGCAACAAATAAAAGATAAAGCAACAGTGAGAGTGATCAATCGGAATATGACACACCATGCTGTATACCAATCTTGCACTTCTTAATATTCTTGGAAATATAGGTTTTGTTGTAATTCAAAGCAAACACGTTTTCTAATAAGAACTCCTTACTTTTGTATGTGTTTTTTCCCAAAAGAGTATGTTTAATCAATTTCATCAATTTTCCTATGGGATTAATAAAGTATTATCTATGTTTACATATTTGAGGGCAACAGTTTAATCTACCACTGCGAGGCCAGCAGGGGGCGCTCACCCTGCAGTCCATATGGGTCCTAATGCCCCAGTATAGTGACGGGGACACTATACTGTAAATAAGCGCCGTCTTTCGGTTGAGACGTAAAACCGAGGTCCTGACTCTCTGTGGTCATTAAAAATCCCAGGGTGTTTCTCGAAAAGAGTAGGGGTGTAACCCTGGCGTCCTGGCCAAATTTCCCATGTCTCCTAATAATCCCCCTCCATGAATTGGCTACATTACTTTGTTCTCCTCCCCCCCTCCGACGGCAGGCGGAGCGACGCGCCGGTTGGAGTATTCTCAGTCGCATTTAACGGCAACGTCAGCTCAAAGATTAGGTTCAAACCACCAAATGGAGACGGGGGTGCCGACAAGCGGACCCTGCTGATGCGGGATTAACGCTAGGATGAGAGAGAGAGAGTTTCATCTACCACTGCAGTGCAGTGCTCATGTTGACTCATGGCAGCCATTATGTGTCAGCAGTCCCACTACACAGCTGATGAAGAAGTCTCACTTAGTGTGCCATTTGATCTTTAATGATCAAGAAGTCAGGAGCTCAGTTTAACATCTCTCCCTAAGGATGATACTTCCTTCAGCACAGTGGCCACACAGAAGCATTGGATAGGAAATTCTGTTGCTCAAGGAACAGAACTGCCCACCGGGCTATGAGTGTCCTTTTGTTCCCTAGAGGTCGTTTTCCATCCTAATACTGAGCAAACCCAACCCTGCTTCGCTTTTGAAATCTTATAAGATCATGTTAGCAAGCAGCAATTCTTCCATAAAGAGAAAAAAAAGACTCCAAAACCATATTCATTTATTCTGGTTACAATATGTTTTACTCGTACTCTCGTAAGTCAAAACAGTGTCACAAATTGTGATACGTTTTACCTTTTGCAGTGCTTTGTTGTGTTTCTTTTCTTCTCTTTTCAGCGTGGAATAAACCTTTACTTGTTCCTTTACTGTGTATGTCAGTGTGTTTCTTATTTATTCACCGGGAAAAGAACCCAAGACATGAACTTTAGAACATCTATATTGTAGTGTATACTCTATACCCAGCATAGTACAATAGATTTCTCCATTCATACTGTATACTCTTGGAACTAAGAAGTGTAAACATTAAGGCATTTTGTTTTTCCATTTTGACCTACTTGTATAACAGTTCTCATTCTAGAAATGTTGTGATTCTTTATCTTAAGTTTCAATTGCAATTCATATCTTAAAAATCCCTCTTCACTGTTTCCTTTAAAATGAGATATTTGATGTTGATATCTTTGTTCTTCCTACTTCTGCCTCGCCCATAATTGTTTATATAGCAACCTTTTTTTTTTTTAGTCTGGTGAAAATTGTCCATTCTCCAGAATGCAAAAGACTAACTTACAAGATGTTGCTTTCTTAGAAACCCTTTCTTATGAAGCGCAACAGCAATAATGGATAGAAACTGAGCTTATGGTATCATCCATTTGTAATTTCAGAAGGTTGTCGAAAACTATCATAAAAGATAAATTCTTAAATTGCATATGACAAAGATTCAAGGTAATGCATGTACTTTGAGTAAGAACTGGTGAATAGGCAGGAAACAGAGATTAGAGCTAATTGGTAAATGCTCCAATTGGAGTACCTCAGGGATCAGTATTTGGAGCCCCAGTTTTCCTCAATTATGTCAGTAATCTCAATTCAGTTCTAGTTAGTGAACTAATTCAGACGAAACACAATGGTTCATCTTCATGTTTCGCCTTCTTCATGTGTGAAGGAGAAGGCTGGAGAAGGCTCAACTGCTGAAATGTTGTGTTTCTTCTTTCTACTCATCAGTGTGGACTAATCTTTTATTTGTTCTGCACATACTTTTGAATTGCTGTTCTCAGTCTCATTCCTCTGTTCCTCCCCTAAAACCAAATTCTTTGTGCTTTTGTAATACAGTACAGATGTATTTCCTAACACTTTTACTTCAAGCTCTCAGGACATCATAGATGCCCCCCTTGTTAGTATGAAGCATGCTAGCATGGAATTATCTTCAAGCAAATAACATTTTCTTGTGTGAACACTTTAATAGTGATATAATTTGGGTGGAAATCAATTGCATGCTTCAAAACACATTATGATCAGTTTGACCCTTCTAGACTACTGTATATTGTCTCCATTGCTTATTTACAACTGGCACAAAGTCAGTGTGACAGGAGTTGCATGTCATCACAAATGAATCCCTTTCTTCTCATTACAAACACAACTTCACATGTTGCAAAACATTAAAAAGTAATCAGTAGCAACAAACCAGAACTTTTCTGGAATTTAATGCTGATGATAATGATGATTCCACATCTGGTTATGTCATTTTTGTAATATTACATGTGGTTTACATTTTATTTTTGTCTTCTGTGGTTCATTTGTTGCCCAGGTTAACTGTTCTTTGACTACCTGGGCTGTGTTTATTTACCTTACCCTAATTCTGTCAAATTCTAACTGTGCTGTCAGATAAAGCAGCTGCAGTACAGCTGGATTCCATTGGTGTGGTCCGATGAAGTACTTCTAGCTGCTATCTGAATTCTATTAGTATAGTCTGATGAGACAGCTTTAGCTCCCACCTGAATTCTACTAGTGAAGGTTGAAGAAGCTTTTATAAGATTATTATAGTTTATTGCTCTGAGCAGTTTTTGGATAGTACCTTGTTTTCTCTTGACATTGGAGACACATTGGCATTTCACAATATTACACATGTATAAAACATACCTCGGAAAAATACGAATTTCAGATGCTGGCTCTGTAGCTTACTCAAATTGTGCAGTACAGATAATTAAGAGTAGAGAACTATATACTGATGGAAAAAAGAAATGCAACACCTCCTCCTCTACACTCTGGCCCTCCCGTCTGCGTGGAACAGACTGAAGAGTGGCTCATCCATGAAGAGGACCTGATGCCGCTGCTGACAAGTCCGTTGCAGCCTCTGTCTGGCCCAAGCCAGTCGGGTGTGATGTCTAGGAGGTGTGAGCGGAGGGCCTCTGACAGGTTGCCTTGATCTAAGCAGCATGGAGCCTCACTGCCCTGTCATTGATGCGGGCATTGTGTCTGCCGGCAGTTTCAGCAGCAGTACGGTTTGCAGATCTGAAACAATCTCTCAGATGGACCAGTCTGATGTATCGGTCCTGCTCTGGCGTGGTCACTCGAGGGCGACCAGGTCTTGGACTGTCATCTGTCCTCCTGGTCTGCTGAAACCTTCTCTGCAGTCGGGACACAGTGGAGCGGCTTACTCCATGGTGTCTGGCAACGCTGGCACATGACATGCCTGCCTGCAGCATGCCAATGGCCCTCTCCCTTGCTTCTGGTGACATTCGAGGCTTTATTGAATGCACAGAAAGCTGACTAAGTGTGGCCTTTTTCTTGCAGTGACCTAAGCTTTGAATTAATGCCTTTTTCAAGGTGACCTGATCAGGCATTGTTCCACGTGGACCTCGTTGGGTAAAAATACTCCTAACGAGCTTTTGTGTGATTGGCAAGTTGCAACGCCTCACTGCACAAGCTGTATTGCTGGTCAGAGGGCTTAAAACAAATTGACACCTTTTTGTGAAAGTACATAAACTATAACTTTAGTATTCTCATTCCACAAAATGTTGCGTTTCTTTTTTCCATCAATATATATTATTTTGTTCATCCAAGCACATGTGATACTGTTACGTTTCCACTTAATTTAACCATGAATGGCATTTTCTGACCCTTTTTATAGTGAAGAGGTAAAATACATAGATTTCTCTATGTAGAGACTGAGTAATATTAACACCAAATGTTAGTACACAACCTTTTGAAATAAGAAAATAAGAATTACAGCTCCGCTCAAGTTGCAGAATGAGTAGAATAGATGTTCAACAAGGTAACATGATTGAAGGGAAAGATAAATAACAGACATACAGTAATTAGGGCTTTAGAACTCACAGTAGGACATGAAAGATGTTTTTGTAGCTGACATCAAGCAATAGCTAGATTTATATTTCAGTGTCTATTTCAGTGTAGACGATGCAGGAATCGCAGGTGCAGAGCAAAGAGATGTGGTTTGAGAAGGCACCAATGATAATCTGTTTTGATGCCAGCAGATAGCTGGTTTTACTAGGGAAATGAGCACTGGTTAGCCACAGTCTTCATTCAGAAGTGAAAGAGGAAGGACATGGTCATTTGTGTCACAAAATCAACTGACTGTTGTCAGGGAGAGGTTGAACTTAGAACGAGCTACCCAAACAGCAGAAGAGTCCAGAGAAACCAAGAAACATGTGCTGCTTGAAATGGCCACTTCCAACCCTCATCATCACATGTTTTCACTGCATCTCCACAACGTTTCTTGACGGCAGCATTGTCACAATTGTAGTCCCTCTCCCTTAAGGGCGC